CCCAGGGGCTTGGTGGAGCCCCCACACGGGAACCCACAGGGGCCTGGTGGAGCCCCCACCCAGCAGACACACACGAGAACCCACAGGGGCCTGGTGGAGCCCACACCCAGCAGACAGACACAGGACATGAACCCATCAAGCCCTGGCTGGGAGCCCAGACACACAAGATGACAGCCTGCCGCACCTGCCGCGATTCTGGGAGGGGCAGTTCTGCCTGGGGTCCCAGAGGGGACAATGCAGAGGTGCCGGCTGGTTCTGGAACTCAGGCCCAGTGGTACACCTGGTAGAAAGGTGGAAGCACCTGTCTGTGACTGTCACTGCTGCCGGAGATGATGTGTCCCTCCATCCTAAAGCTGTTCTATCTGCCCCCAGCCAACAGGCGCCGTTCCCCTCTCTGTCACCGCCGCCCTGCAGCTGACGCACAGCCAGGAAGACTCCAGCCGCTGCTCAGATAACTCCAGCTATGAGGAGCCCCTGTCACCCATCTCTGCCAGTTCATCCACCTCCCGCCGGCGACAAGGCCAGCGGGACCTGGAGCTCCCTGACATGCACATGCGGGACCTCGTGGGCATAGGACACCACTTCCTGCCGAGTGAGCCCACCAAGTGGAACGTCGAGGACGTCTACGAGTTCATCCGCTCCCTGCCAGGTATGGCCTTGCACCTTCGTCTCCCGGAAGTGAGGAATGAGACGGCGTGAGACCGCCTCTCTTCAACCCGGACACCCACGTTCCCTTTGAGCATTTACCTCATTGCGTTCCCTGGTGCCCTCATTTCTCAGACGGTCTGTCAGATCAGGCATTGCCTGTGCCCCTCAAGGGGTCCCTCCATTTAGACCCACAGTGCTTACAAGGTATCTTACCCGTCAGTGGCCCAGCCCCGCAGGTGTCCAGGTTGGGTGTTGTAGTGAGTTCAGAAACCGGCGTGCAGAGGTGAGGAAGGTGAGGCTCCTGCCTGCAGGAGCGTACGTGTTAGCACAGGACACAGACAGAGACTGCATAGCCACAGCTGGCCGTGCCGGCAGTACATAGCAGTGAGGAACGCAGAGACGGGGCTCCCAGGGCGGGCCAGAGGGTAGGCAGGCCGGACGGTAGGACATCTGTCCAGGGGAACTTCATGATTAAAGACAAACTGAATAACAGCAGGCAAGTGTGCCCATGGCTCAGGGGAGACTGCAGAGGGATGAGCAGGAGCAGGGGTGGAGACATGGCTGAGCACCGTGCCTGGCCGCATGGTGGATGCAGATGGTCACTAGGGGACCTCGTGTCAGTCATAGGTGCT